GCGGCCGCGGGTGCGGTGGTCGCGGCGGCTGCTGTAGGCGTTGGCGAGGCCGTCGTCGACCTCGGGCACCGCCTTGTCCATGGCGGCGCGCTCGATGACCGAGCAGGCAAGGTCGAGATTGTCCTGCATGATGACCAGGAGCGCCTGCTCCGGCAGCGTCTGCTCGGTGAAGCCGCTCGAGAGGAAGAGCGAGCGGGCGTGGGTCACCATGCTGATCCGCAGCGGCTCCTTGCAGGTGACGAGCGCCAGGCTGCCGGCCAGGTTCTGCGCCATCTGGTGGGCCGCCTTGCCCATCTTGCCCTCGTCGCCCTCCATGGCAAAATCCTTGGTCACCAGCTCGCGCGTCGAGATCGACGCAATCGTCACCGATCGCTCGACGACGGGCGCGATGATCTCTCGGATGGCGCGGTCGATGGCGATGTGGATAATCCGCTTGAGCGCCGCATTGTTGGCGAACAGCGTCAGCTGCGGGTTGATGACGATGTAGTTGCCCAGCGAGGCGAGCATCGAGACGAGCGTCTCGGTGTAGGCGGCGGCCGCCGCAGCCGACTGGCCCGGCTGCGTGCCGGAGCCGGCGGCCGCAACGGCAGCAGCGGCGGCGCTGGCCTTGGGGCCGACCTGAGGGGGCATGCCACGCTGTCCAGCGGCAAAGCCTCCCCCACCACTGGCGACCGACAGCCGCTCGAGGTCCTGGGCGAGGCCCGTGGCGGGCTGCTGGACGAGCTGCTGCTGCTGACGCTGCTGCTGCTGGTGGTGGTGTTGCTGCTGGTGCTGGTGCTGCTGATGCTGCAGCTGCTGCTGGAGCTGCTGTTGCTGCTGCTGCTGCTGCTGCTGCTGGAGCTGCTGCTGCTGCTGGAGGATCTCGACCGTGGGCCTGTTGCGCAGGATGGTGGTGGGCTGGATGTCCTTGAGCTCGACGCTGAGGCTCTTGCAGAGCACCTCGATCTCAAACTTGAGGTTGAGCTTGAGCTCGGCGAACTGGTAGAGCTCGACCATCAGGCGCAGCACCGCCATCAGCCACGGGTTGGGCGGCACAAACACCTCGGACCTGGCGCACTGCTCGAGGACCTTGCACACGAACGGGATGGCGACAATCAGCCGGTTGCTGTCGTAGCCCTGCACCAGCAGCTCCTTGAAGGCGATGTTGCGGTGGCGAATCGGCTTGTTGCGCGCCAGCGTGAGGCTGCCCAGCCACGAGCCCAGGTTCTTGAGCAGCGTGCGCTCCTGGGTCGACTGGACCGTCTTGTCCGAGTTGAGGAGCAGCTGCACCTTGGCCAGCGTCTCGTGCAGGATAAAGGCGAGCAGGCTCTGGCCGTTGAGCCCGTCGAGGAACTGCGCGTAGAGGCCGTGGTTGTTGGGCTCGATGCTGACGCGCTGGAGGACGAGGTAGGACGAGAACCACCGGAAGATCTCGGGCTTGATCAGGCGCTTGGCGTCGTGCAGCTTCGACTCGAGGTTGCTCGGCGACAGGTTGTTGACGAGGAAGAGGACGCGGTCCGACACGTCCTCCTCGGGCTCGCGCTGCTCGACCGTGTCCGGCACGCCGTCGACGTGGATCGCGGTGAAGGGCGGCGGCTTGTCGTCGTCGTCGACGCCACCGTTGCCGCCGTCGTTGGCCTGACCCTTGCCGGCGACGCCACCCTTGCCGTCCGGACCGCCGCCGGCGCCACCGCCCGCCATGGCCATGCGCACCAGCCGGACCACGTCCGGATGCGACTGCTGGAGGTGGGGCATCGAGAGGAGCGCCTGGCACAGCTGGGGCCACTCGGGCAGCCGGTTCTGGAAGCGCAGCAGCGCCTGCAGGCCAAACTTGAACATGTTCGAGTCCGACGGATTGCGCAGCGCGTCGAGGACGTAGCGGATGGCGATGCCGAGCGGGATGTAGTCGATCAGCTGGTGCTGGATGAGCGAGCCAAAGACGACGGCGGTCATGGCGAGCTCGCGCGGCGGGTAGTACATCTCGAACCAGCGGTACTCGTCGAAGAGCGTGTGGACCATGCACGCAAAGACCTGGTGGTCGCGCGGGTCGTCCGACACCTTGGTCCGCTGCAGGAGCGCGATGACGTCGTCGATGCTGATCTTCTCCTCGTACATCTTGCGGTACCAGCTGTCGGCCTCGTCGTGGATGTCCTGCGAGAAGGTGACGACCTGCAGGCCCGGCTCCTGCCCCTCGGCGCCCGGGGCGAGGTTCATGAGACGCGGGTGGAGCTGGAGGCAGAGGTTGCGCACCACCTTGAAAAAGTCGATCTCGTCGGGCGTCATGTTGTCGCCGTTGGAGCGCAGCACCTTGAGGAAGGTGGCCACCGTCTGGACGGTGAGCGGCATAAAATTCTGCTCCGCCTGCGGGTCCTGCTTGGCGAGGTCGTCCTTGGTCTTGCTGTCGAGGAACTCGAGCGAGGCGCGCACGAACTCGCCGCCGTGCTCGGCGATCTTGCTCTGCAGCCAGATGTCGAGGTTGAGGTATTCGCGGCGCGAGGCCAGCGCCGCCACGTCGAGCGCAAACGCAAAGGGGCGCTGGTCGAGGAGCGTGTCGAGGATCTTGACCTCCTGCGCCACGTCGACGAGCCGGGTAATGTTGATTGGGTTCTCGTCGTAGAAGCTGTGCAGCGCCGACAGGGTAAAGTCCTGGTTGGCCTGCCACAGGCGGTAGAAGACGAGCTGGTGGCTCGGGTGGCCCGCGAGGAACATGGCGACCAGCTTCGATGCCAGCTCGCTGTGGATGCGGTTCCACGGGTGGCCGATCTGGACGAGCCCCATGAGCACCAGCTCGGCGCTCGACTTGATCGCCTTTTCGAGCAGCTCGGTGACCACGGCCCGGACCGAAGGGTCGTCGGAGCCGGCGATCTGCGTGAGCGTCTCGACGAGGTCGAGCGAGTTCCAGGTGCTGCCCTGGACCGAGGCCGCCAGCGCCTTGACGGTGCCGCTGGCGCCCGACACGTCTTCGACCGTCACGATCCTCCGGCCGGGCAGCGCGGCAAACGAGAAGGCGTCGGCGGGGAGCGAGACGAGACCGTTGAGGATGCGCACCTGGCGCTGCTTGTGCGACCAGGCCCCCCACAGGCCCGAGACGGCCGGGGTCTGGCCCTGGAAGCGCGAGGTGGCGGACACGACTGCCGCGAGTCCACCCATCCGGTTGCTGGCCGGGATCTCGAAGCCCTCGGGGTCGTCGAGGCCGCGGACCACGCGGATCCAGGAGAGCTGCGGAAACGCCGAGCTCCAGCCGCGGACGAGGTTGCCAAAGTCGGTCACGTCGCCGCCGTTGAGCAGGTCGGTGTCGACCGAGAGGAGCGATGCGAGAAGCTCAGACGTCGATCGCTCGTCGGCCGAGCGCACCTCAAAGCGGTCGAGGATGGCGCGGACCACGTCGACGCTGGGCAGGCCGCTGGGGCCGAGGTCGATGAGGAACTCGGTGAGGTTCTTGCCGGGCTTCATGCGGAGGTTGGGCAGCGTCTGGCGGATGACGTGGGCGGTGGCCTCGGGGCCGATGCGCTCCGACACGGCGGCCAGCAGGCGCTGGCGGTGGGCGGGCTGGAGCAGCGGCGAGTTGGGCGGCGCCGCATCCGAGAGCAGCGAAGCCAGGAACGAAGCCAGCCGCTCGGGTGCCAGGGTGCCGTTGGGTCCGCCCTGCCTCAGCGCATCGAGCGCCGAGTCGAGCACCGACGAGGAGCCCGACGAGGCTGCAGCCGCTGCAGCTGCAGCAGCGGCGGCAGCGGCCTGGCCATCGCCGATCCCGGGCGGCTGCGGTGGAGGCGCAGAGCCGTTGACCATACTGACCGCCTCGGCGGCGAGCTCCTGTCGAGCGGTCGCAGAGGCTAGGGCAGAGGAGAGCGCGAGCTTTTGCTGGGACTCGAGTCCCGATGCCTCAAAGAGGCGTCCGAGCTCGACGGAGCTGAAGGCCTCGGTGCGCGGCTCGGCACGGTCGAGCGCCTCTACGAAGCGTCGGGCGAGTTCCGACCGGTCGGCTGCCCTTTGCAGCTGGCGGCGTAGGAACGAGTGTTGCAAGCGGCGACGGCCGCGAAGGTGTGCGCGAGCCTCGGTGTCGGCTTCGCCGCGGTGTGGGTCGTCGTCGTCGTGGCCGTCGCCGTCGTTGCGGACGTCGGCGGCGGCGGTGGCAGTGTCGGGGAGGCTGTCTTGGCCTCCGAATAGCACCTGCGAGGCGAGGTGCTGGATTAAGCAATTATAGAGCCCGTCTCCGAACCGGTCGCAAAGCTGTTGGTCGTTGCAGCAGGGGGTGCGGGAGGAGGCGTGGATCGCGCGCGGTCAGTCGTTTGTCCACCAGGCAAGCGGTCGCTGTTCGCGCAAGGGGCGAGGCCACGTACTCGTTGAGCTTCTTGCAGATGAAGCTCGAGATTCTCCTCCGTTAAAGTAGCAAGCAGGAAGCGGATCTGCCCCTCTAAAATGTCCTGGGTAGCGACGCTTGGCCCACGGGGCGTTGGACCGGGCGTCGTTGATATCGGTGCCGCTGTCGACGTCGTTTTGATGGGCTTGGGCGGCGCGGCGGCCGCTGTGCAGTGCCGTGTTGGGAGACACAGCCGGCTGTAGCGATCTGCTCCGAAATCCGAGCTTGTGCGCGTGCCGGGACGAGCGAGAGCTTCAGGTACTGCCGGGGGCGAGGGTAGAGCCGAGATGCGAGAGGCGGGATGCGAGGAGAGAGAGAGGGCGTAAAAGCGAAGAAGAGGGAGGTCGAGGCGAGATCAGCATATCGATGCTCGTCCGGTGCGATCGTTGTGCTGCCTATTGTGCAGCAGGCAGGCAGGACGGTGATGGGCGACGACGAACGGCTGCAGACGTCTGGCGTCTGGCGTCGGCACGCCTGGCACACTCACGCTTTCACTGGCGTCGAGAGGCTGCTCTCTCGCCACGTTGGCGCGTGCACCTGCAACTGCGCGTCTCGGCGACGGGGAACGCTGACCGCTTCCGCTGCTGCGTCGTGCCCGTCCAGCCTCGTGCTGCGGAAGACGACCACGAAGTCCAAGGCGGTCTCAGTTGGTGGTGCGCGAGAGGGCTAGGGTGGGTCGGTGAGGGTCGTGGAGTGATGGGACGGCCACAGTAGCAAGAGCTGAGCGGATCGCCTCTGCTGTCCCTGAACCTCGAGGTTGCGTCCGGAAGGCAGGGTTTCCGCAGAAGCTAGTCGCGGTGGCCGCAGCAGAACCGTCGCCTAAACCCTCAGCGGGGAGTGCAAGGACGATGATATCGCTGGCCGAACGGGTGAGGCTTTTTTTTTCCTCGGCCCGGACTGACTGGCGATGCGGCGAGCCTGTGAGGTGTCGCAGCTTGTCTCGGTGGGCGAGCCACGAGTGAGCGACCAGACAGCCGTGCCAGTGAGGCGAGTCGGATCGGAGTGGGTACCGACACCGGCCTGATGGAGGTGCAGGCCTCGGACGGGAGGGCTTGGTCGGATGGGTCGGGATCGGGAGCTGGAGCTGGTGGGGTGCGATCAAGGCCAGGTGGGTGGGTGAAAAGGCGCCTGTTGCGAGAGAGGGCTCGTGGTGAGCGGTAGCAGCGTAGCAAAGGGCGAGGATGAAGGTGCGGAAGACGAGGAGAAAGAGTGTTGGCGAATCGAGGTGCCGGGTGGTGCCGGGGTCGAGGGGGGATGAGGGAGAGAAGCAAGGAGAAAGGCGCACACTGACCGGCAGAGAGGAAGTCGGCAAGCGGAGGCGAGCGTAGCGCGGGTCAGAGCGTAGCAGCGTCGTGACTCTGGCGGGCGGGCGAGCGGGCGAGCGGGCGAGCGGGCGTGCGGGCTTGGCTGGCAGGCCAAGCCAGGCTGAGGCCCGCTTGTGATTTTTGTATTCGGCCCGCCCGCCTTGTATTTGCACTGCCGCAATTCAAGGCCAGGCCCATCCATTTTGTATTGGCGCCCGCCCACGCCGCGGTGATCGCTTGGGCCCTTGCTGGCCTCTGAGCGGGCAGGCCAGGCGGCTGCGTCGGGCGGGTGGCAGGGCATCGTTCGTCATCGGGAGATGAGGCGGCTGGCGGCCTTGGTTCGGCTCCGCTTGGGGCTTCCGCCAGTCGCCTCTCGGCCCGGCGGCACATGGCATGGCATGGCATGGCATGCCGGGGCCTGGCCACGCGCCCCGCTTCCGAAGGCAGAGAGAGGGCAGCGTACGGTACGGTGTTGATGCCCGCTGCTCTGCCACCATCAACTTTGCTCCGGGAGCCTCACCGCCGCCCACCACCTCTCCCTCCCATCTCGACGCCTTGCCCGCAATGTGGCTAACATCCTGAGTGTGCGCACGTCGAAGCGCACAATACTCCTGGCCGCCGTCACCCGCTCCTCTGCTCCATCGCCGTCATCGCCGCCGCCGCCCTGCTCTCTGCTCCGCTCCTTGCACCGCTCCCTACCTGCCACTGTGCCCTGCTCTGCTCCTGCTTTTGCACCTATACCCCCGCATTCAAGCTGCGACGGCCATCCGAGGCCGGCATACCCAGCCAGCCAGCCAGCCAGCCAGCCCGCCATGTCGTTCAGATCGGCGATGCTCGCCCTCGCCCTGCTGCTAAGCTGGCAGCAGCTCCTCTCGTCGTCCCCGTCCGCCTTCGCCTTTACCTTCCCCACCGAGGGCCAGGCGACGCTGACGCACTACACGCTGCCGAGCGACTACGTGGCATCGTGCGGTTGCGTCGGTCGATCGACCCACTACCCGACGGCAGCGCTCAACCGCCTCGCCTACGGATCCAACACGTCGTTCGCGCCGTCGTGCGGACTGTGCTTCGAGCTGCGCCTCGTTTCGACGCCCCTCGCGAACCCACCCCCTCCCCCCGACGATCCGGATGCGCCGTGGGGAGATGGCATCTTCTACCCCGACTCGGCCGTCGCATCGGGACAGACGCCCAGCGTCGTCGTCAAAATCACCGACCTCTGCCCCGGCGCCGGTGGTCCGTGGTGCAACGCCACCATGAACCCGGACGGCACCCTCGCCGGCAACCAGCTCGGATCCCTCGTCCACTTCGACCTCGCCTGGCCTTCCGTAGCCATACCCAACTCCTTCTTCCCCGGCGACCACGACTACGGCGTCTGGAACGTCAGCTACGCCGCCGTCAGCTGCGATCGATGGAAGGGCAATGCCGACCAGGGCGCCGTCGGCTCCGACTGGGACCAGCAGGACGCCGCGTGCTGCCCGCGCGACCCCGCCCCGTCTGGCACCGATGTCGTCTGCCCCGCCTACTACGACACCGTCGGCGATGGCACCGCACTAGTCCCAAACACCAGCAACATCCTCTCCAAGGGCAAGTCGAGCGCATCGTCCGCTTCACTCGCCACCCACCCGCTGTTCGGGCCGTCCTCCACGACGACAACGACGATGATGCTCGCCTGGTGGGCGGTGCTCTCTCTCCCCGCCGTCCTCGCCGCTCTGGCAGCGACGTCCGACAGCGGCTGCCTCTTCCTGTAGACCTTGCCCCGTCACCGCGAGTATACCCTGTTTGATTATCCGGATTGGCACAGCAAACCTGCTCTCATGTAACGGCAACAGCGATCTCGACTATCCCTTCATCGACCGTCGACCACCATCTCACTCTTCTTCAGCCCGTGCTCTGACTCCTTGCCGCCTCGACCTCGACCTCGGCCTCGGCCTCGGGCGCGACCTCCTCGTCCCTCCATTCGTACAGGACGACGGCGTCCGCCAGCTTCCTCTGCCACGGGTCCTCTTCCCATCGCCCACGCTGCAATGGCCTGGCTTCTTGCACTGTCGTCGCCGGCGACGATCCATCGACTTCCGGCGGTGTCGATGGTGCCTCAAATCCTAGCCAGATGCCCGAGTCGGCAGGCTTGCTGGCGATAATGATGGGCTCGATGGCTTCGAGATCCGGATCCCGCTCGTACGGCTCAGCCGACGCCTCGCGGGCGTCGTCGGCGGAAGTCGCGGCGTCGCCTGGCCGTTGCTGCTGGGCAAAGGGAGACTGGGAGCGACGCAGAAGGTGGATGACCCTTTCCGGGGCACCCATGCCGTACTCGACGTGGCCCAGTCCGGCGATGCACAGCGTCACATTGACGACCTTCTCGTCGCCGCCCGCCTCGGCTTCGACAAACCTCGACCGCTCCTCGGGGGTGGCAGGGCAGCCGCGCAGGATCCAGGCGGTGACGTGGGCAAAGTACGAGTCCTTGAGCGCCTGGGCGGGTGCGAAGCCCTTTGTCTCGGACGCCGTGGGGCGCAGCAGCCAGGTCGGGTAGATGTGCGAGCCGGACATGGACGCCATGGCCGACAGGAGCGGCTGGCTGGCCGAGCCGGCAGGCAGGGCCGGAAAGGTCGGAGGCAGGTCGGGCCGCATGAGTGACGAGAGATAGGCGCGATGGGCGGCGTGGAGCTGCGTGACGAGCGACCAGTTCGACAGCCTCGGCAGCAGGTGTGCCGACTTGGCCGTGGTCGTCCCTGGCGCTGTCGCGGTCGCTGTCGCTGCAGTCATCGGCTCCGTCGAGGTCGCGGCTGCGCCTGCGAGCCAGCTCTGCTCGTTGAGCTTGACGGCGTCGACCCCCTGGCGGAAGACGTCGCGCGCCCATCTGCGCGGTGGGAAGCCGCCCCAGATGGGAACCCGCAGCTCGCGGGCGAGGAGGAGCAGAGGCATGTAGTGCGAGAGGTCGAAGCCTTCCTGGCTGTTGGCCGAGTAGGCGTCGATGAGGCCCTGGGGCGCAAGGGAGCCGGAGTAGAACGAGTTGAGCATGGGCTGGTCCTCGACGGAGAAGTGTTCGAGGACGAGGTGGAGGCGGTAGAGGGTGCCGCGCTTGCCCGGGGTGCTGGAGAGGGAGGCGTGGCGGCAGTGGTCGTCGAGGGCCGAGAGGGTCTGGAGCTGGGCGCGGAGCACCTCTGGCTGGTGGTGCTGTTCGCCAAAGAAGACGAGGCGAGGCGGTGGGGGTGCGGGTTGGACGTCTGGCTCGACGGTGGGCCGGAGCAGGCTGGTGAAAGACGAGAGCAGGGCCTGCGGTGAGGGGACGAGAGAGTTCCAATCTACGTAGCGGGGCGGGCGGGGCTGCCGGAAGGTGTGGCTGCGTCGGTCGCCGTCGTGGGCGAGATCCGCATCGGCCGAGGACGAGGATGACGGGGCAGAGGAGTCATGCTCGGGCAGGGAAAACGAGTGGCGATAGCTGGGAAGGCCGTGCGCGAGGATGCGGGGCGGGGTGAGCCTGGACAGCATGGATGCTATCGAGGGTGGCGGGCGAGGCGATGGCGGTTGCGGTGGCATTGTCGCAGCTGCCTGTGGCGGATGTTGATCGGTCATTGAGAGGAGGGGGAAGCGCGAGAGCGAGCGAACATCTCTAGCGGAGCGATCCGAGGGTGGTGATGGTGGTGATCGCGGTGGTGGTGGTGGTGGTCATGTTGCGGGGTCAAGCCGAGACCGGGGCTGAGGTCAAAACGCGAGGCCAGAGGTCAAGGTGAGTCCAGGCCAGATCCACCAACGGCTTCGGCCCGACGCCGCCTCGCAGTCGAGGGGATCGGTCCAGGTGGAGGAGGTAGGTTGGGACGAGGTGCAAAGGCGGCGTCTGACCTGAGCTGGCGAGCCGGCCTGTTCGGATGCAGCCGACCTGCTTGCTTGCTTGCCTTTCTCGCCTGCCATGTGCCGCGTGGCACGCCTTGTCCGACTCCCGAGCCTTTGGCGGCGCTGGCTTCTTCTCTCGACCACTACCACCACCACCACCACCTGTTCTCCCTGCGCCGTCTCGCTCGCTAGCTCCTCGTCGTCTCTACTGGGCCGCTCTGACCCGCTCTTTGCCCACCCAGCCTGCAGACCCCGGTCGCACTGATCCACGTGGCCGACATGGCATCGGACCCGGCCCCTCGGCCACGCGCTGTCGCTAGCATGGCCCCGCTGGTCCGCCGCGACGAGGACGAGGCGTCGAGCCTGCTGCCCCTCTTCATCGTGCTCGCCATCTTTGTCGCCCTCGCCATCGCCTGGTTCGCACTCTCGTCGTGCATGGGCGACAACCTGCGCCGCTCCATCTCGCAACACATCTCGCGCCTCTGGGACCGCATCCGCGGCCGCTCCACCGGCCGTCGACGCGGTCGATACGGCCACATGCTCGGCGACGACGACGACGATCCCGAGGCCACCGCCTTCGACGTCACCTTTGACGATCCAGAGGAAGACCTCTACCGTCACCACAGCACCAACTCGCCCTCGCACCCTGTCGGCTATGACAACGACGACGACGACGACGCCAGCAGGCGCTACGAGGCCCGCCAGTCGCAGCAGCCCTACGGCTACTAGCTGGCCGTCTGCGTCGCGACGGAGCTGCTCTGCGCTCTCTCAGCATCCCTGTGATGAGTGGGACAGCAATTTGCGGAATCGCATGCATCCAAAGGGCAACGTTGGCGTCAGTTAAAAAGCGACAAACAAGCGCCTCGTGCGCTCCATCACGCTCAGACTCGGCAGCGGACGTCGACGCAGGGATCCCCGGCCACGTCGCCCGAGTCTTGCCGCCTTCGACCGGGAAGCGTACCGGCTGTACCACCGCAAAGGCAGCGTCGGCACGCAGCCTCGTCGGTCACCTCCGTGCTCGCTCGCTCGCTCTGGCTGACGACGCCGCGTTCCCTTGCTTGCTCGTTGGATTCCCTCCGTGGACCCTAGCCTAGCCCGGCTGATTCACCTTTTCCCTGCGTGACGGCCACCAGGGCAAGGGTCAGGCTCCAAGGGTGGAGGGGCCAGGAAGAAAGAGAGAACACCGTCGGCTCAGATGACAGGCAGGCACACCACGTCCAACAGAGCCAGCAGGCCAGCAGCGACGTTGACGTCGTCGTCGGCCCACGCGCGCACGCTGCAGCCGCCGCTGTCATCTTCCTGGCCGAGCCATCGCATGTCGTCGAAGCAAGCACCATGTCAGCGACACGCTCGACTCAGTCATCCGACAAGCAGCAGCGCCGAGCAAGGCAAGGCAAGGCAAGCAAACGTTCGACGCCCGGCTTGGCCTTGCCGCTCGATTGCGCCTCCCCAACGACGCCGGGCGGCCTGCCTGATGTACTTAAAGGGCAGTGGGCATCATCGTCCACCAGCCCTGCCCTCCCTCTACTGCTCACCATTCACACATCGCATTCGTCCGCCCATCCGTACCCCTCCCTCCGCCATCGACTTCTGCTCGACGACGACGCTAGCTACTGCTACCAACACCACCGCCATCAACCTAACGCTGCTCTGCCACCCCGACCCGACGCCCCCCTCCTCCAAGATGACCATGTCCGCTAGGAGCCTGCACGCCTCGACGCTCTTCGACCTGACGGGCAAGATTGCCCTCATCACGGGCGGCGGTACGGGCATCGGGCTGATGCAGGCGCGCACGCTGAGCCAGGCGGGCGCCAAGGTATACATCGTGGGCCGCCGGGCCGAGGTTCTCGACAAGAGCGCGCAGCTCTACAGCGAGCCCAACGCGCCCCTCGTCCCGCTTCCCGGCGACATTTCCAAAAAGGCCGAGTGCCTCCGCCTCGCCGACGAGATCTCGAAGCGAGAGGGCAAGCTCGACATCCTCATCTCCAACGCCGGCATCGTCGGACCCAAGAATGAGGGCAGCAACACGGCCGACCCCACGGGCCAGGCGCACCCGGAGCACCGCGAAAAGCTACCCGTCGCCGAATACGCCAAGCTGGCGCTCGAGGACAACGAACCGGAACACTGGAACGAGCTCTTCACCGTCAACACTTTTGCCAACTTTTTCCTCAGCATGGCCTTCCTCCCCCTCCTCGCCAAGGCTACCCAGGACACCAAGGGATGGAGCTCGACGTTCATCACCGTCGGCAGCATCTCGGGCATTACGAGCCAGAGCCAGCGGCACGTGGCGTACAACGCCAGCAAGGCGGTACGTGTCTCGTCTCGTCGTCGAGGATGGCCGAGCCGCAGTGACGCCCCCATTGACCCTTGACCTTGACCTGAACCGAGACTGACCGGCCGGTTTCCTTCCCCCTTCTGCCAACGTCCAGGCCGCCAATCACATGACGCGCCTGATCGGCTTCGAGGTGGCCGCATCGACCGACGCAAAGGTGCGCGTCAACGGCATCGCTCCTGGCGTCTTTCCGAGCCAGATGACGGCGAGCGACAAGGACGACGAGACCAACCAGTCGAGCCTGCGCGAAAAGATGCCCGAGCTCAACATCCCCGCCGGCCGACCGGGTCGCGACGAAGACATGGTACGTTTCCGGTCGCGTCGCCTCGCCCCGCCTTGGGGACCTCCCTCGGTCTCATCCCTTCTTGTCGCGGCCGACTGACCGCCCTCTCCTTTTGTCCTTGTTGCTTCACCTCGCCTTGTACCTTCTTCGTCTTCGGCTCATCAGGCATCGGCAACGCTCTTTGTCGTCGCAAACCAGTACCTCAACGGCCAGGTCATTCCAGTCGATGGCGGCTTCACCCTGACCGAGCCCTAAGAGCCGCAGCCGCAGCCGCCGCCATGCAATGCCAGCGGAGCTTCTCTGTCCTATCCTCTGCGTGATTGGTCCGTGTGAAGTGATGCATCGGAGCGGCGTCCTTGTCCACTTTGCGTCGATCAGTGTACCAATGTGGTCTCTTCGACAACGACGACGACGACGAGAGCATGGACGCAGGGCCGTCGCAACAGACGGACCAAGGCCATCATCACGTGCAGGCTGCCCTACACGTACTTCACTAGATGACCCGATAAGCTTTCGGGGCGTATCACTCTCTCGCTCTCGTTCTTCCTTTGTCGCCGGCGTCCTTCCTTCCTTCCCTGCCTACTGGATTGTTCGCCCCTTTGTCGGTGGAATCTCATTTGCCGCGACGCGTCGATATGTCCCTTTGTTGCGTTCTCCCCTCCCTCCGTCCCTGCCGTGGAAGGCGGACGCGCGCCGGGTATCGAAGTCCGAATGGCGTTTGTCGTCTCCTGGCGCTCTACTGAGCTTGCGATAGCATGATCTGGGCCCTATCGCCGACGCGGGGTCGGGAGTGCTGTCGAGTCGAGGTATCAAGCAGTCTGGCAGCTACAGGTGGCAAGCAGGAAGGCAAGCGGAGATGCGCTTGTCGCCAAGTCGGACGCCGCGGCTCGCAAAGAGCCTGCGTCTGCGGTCAAGGCTCTCGCCCTTGCCCGCCTCCTGCCAGCCCTGACTCCAAAGTCGCCGGGCTGCCCTGCCCTGACATGCCTTAGCCTGGCGTTGCCTTTGTTCTTCGGGAAAGCATTGCCGGACCGGGCAGATGTCAGCCAGCAAGCCTGTCCAGCAGAAAAGCGCGCGCTGCATACAAAGTCCGTTGCAGGCAGAGGGACGGTGGCGCCACCACCGTACCCTTTCCCGACGACGGCGAAGTACGTGCATGCATGCATACCCGGCCTTCGCTCAGATGACATCCGTTACCGGCCAGACGCTGCACAGCCTGCCGGCCGCGGGTCGCCTCGCCTCGCAACGCGTCGATATGAAGTCGACAAATGCCGCGGGGCGTCGACACCGTGCAGTCTAGCTGTCTGCAAGCAAAGCAAGCGAGGAAGACAAGCGCTTGCTTGCCTTGCTTGCCTTGCTTGCTTATTGCTTTGCAGCTTGCTTTGTGTGGACGTGCTTATCCGGCCGTGGGAACGCAACGCAAGGCGAGTGGGCGTAAGAGGCGGCGGCGACGGCGACGGCGATTGACGCGGGTGGGTCGGGACGTCGTTGTAGGTACATACGCACGCTCGGCGCCACCTTTGGCGCCCACGTATGTACAGTAGTAGTAGTTGTTTGGGACGAGCAGCGAGCGTGCGTGCGTGCAAGGGTGCGTGCGTATGGCACCTACTCGCCGTACGTGCATGGGCCCGACACCTGCAGACACTCGACGTGCAGCAGCAGCAGGAGGCCGCTCTACCCTAGGCCTACCCTGCCCAACGTACCGACCGACCGGCCGACCAACCGACCGTACCTACAGCGAGCAATCGTCCACGCTCGCTCGGATCGTACGTGCCGTTGCACGCGCACGGTCGCTCCCCCTCGCGCTCGCTGTTCGGCGTGGCGCTGCGTTGGTCCTGTTCCTTGCAATTGCTGCGCGGCGCTGCAACGTCGCCACCGGTCTTGGGCGGCCACGAAGAGGCCAGGCAGCAGCAGCCGCCCAGAGGGCCCAAGCAGCAGCTTTGAGGGCAGCGTTGTGCAAGACGGGGCCCGCCCTCGACGTCCCCCTGCGGGCGACGCCGACGCTTGCCGGCGGCGCCGAAACCTTGGGCGGCCTAGCCTGGATCATAACGGGCCACTCAGGCCGCCAAGGGGGTCGGGCCCCCTCTTTGTCACGTCGCCCCTCGGCCTGGATCCGCCCACTGGACGACAAAGGACCGCTGCGCTAGAGAATCGGCTGGTCCGCATGCCTCTCTGGTCCTCGCCGCCCCACCTAGTAGTGTAGACTCGAGCCGTCACGTAGGCCGGTCAAAGGTAGGCGCGGCGCGGCTCAACCTTTTTTTTCGCTACGCCGCGCCGGGCCGTTCCGAACGGTCAGGCAGGCGCCGTTCTTCTTGGCGTCTGGTTCAAAGTCAGGAGGAAGAGGAAGGCCCCCGAAGCACAGCAAAGCAGATCACTCCAAGAAAGAAAAGATCGAGGGCCCCGGCAGCCTGCCCACCGGTCAGTGGGCTGGTCGGTGGGCAGGCCTCTCTCTCTCTTGACGGTCCGAGCATCGGGAGGCGTTCCGCGGCCAGGCGTGGCGTGGCTCGGCGCGGCGCAGCCTGACCTGGCCGGGCCTGACCCGTCCTAGCCAGGCTTCATCTTGGCCCCGATGCTCAAGGTTCTGGCCGTTTGCCACGGCCTTGATCCCACGCACGTCTGCTGCTAGGCTCAGCCTGCCTGGCCGTGGCCTGTTGGCGGCTTGCTTCCTGTCTTGCTCACCGGGCCAGGACAGGACCAGCACCGCACCCAGAGATCGGGCGGGCGTCCGACTACTGGCCTCTCTGGGCGACTGGCCATCGCCGGTCGAGGGGTGGGCTTGCTGACATCGTCTGCATCCGCCACCGAGCTTCAATTCCTTCCTCACTTCCGTGCCTCACCTCGATCCTTCAGTCCCTCTTCCCAAGCCAAGCGCTGGCAGCCTCTGGTGCGCGCTTCGCCATACGCCAACCCCCTCCCGACCGTGACCTGGCCGAGGCGACGCCCTTTCCCCGCCACGGCGCTGCCATCGGCTGCAGCCATACCCGCCCTGCTGACCACCAACGCAGCACTCTTCTGTCGACATCGCAGCCAGGCCGATGGCTCACTACGCCGTGCACCGCCGCAGCCAAAGCTCGACACCTCCTGTCAGCCAAGGCGAGAAAACCAGGGGCAGGCGACACGCGACGTGAGTCAAGAAAGGCCAGCCCCCCCAGTCCTTCGCTCTCGCCTCCACCACGCCCAGGCTACTTCTTCTGCTCGCCACCCTACCACCTTTGCCATTCGATCCGCACCAGCCTTGGGCCCCGCTACACGTCTCCCAGCTACCGGTACCCCCGCCATGCCGACTGGCACTGCCGGCTCGCAATCGCAGCCAGCGTGCCAAACCGGCCAGGCGACTTGGAACCCAGAGCCCATCGGCACATTCGACGGCCACGAAGCATCCCGAGGCCCTCCTCTAGGCGGCAACGAAGCGACGAGCGACGCCGATGCCGAGCACGAGGTCGTCGACGATGACGATGCTATCCACCTCGTGCCGTACCCTGGGCAGGCGGGCCACGACACGTCGGTCGACCAGCCATCGGAAGCGCTACAGGCCGTGCAGCAGCAGACGCTCGTACTCTCTCAGCAGCCTTCCACGCCCCAGCGGCAGCCGCTGGTGCCTCTCGCCAACCTGGTCGGCACTCCAGATCAGCCGCGCGGCTTGACTCGTGAGTCCGCGGCATCTTCGTCGTGGATCAGGGGCTTGGTCATCAAGACCGGTGACCATCGCAACGGACCTGCACGGCCTAGCCAGTCGTGGCCGCCCTCCCTACGGGCATCGCCGCGGCTCGACCCTGCCCAGCGCCCACAGGCTCGAGATGGGAGGTCGCTCTCGCCGCAGGCCTACCTAGAAGCCGCGCAGCGCACAGGCTCGTTGGCACCGTCGTCAAACGGCCAGCGCACGGCTTCCATCAGGAGCGAGGCACTGCGGTGGCGAGCTTCGGATGACGGCATCGCCAAAGTGACGGCGCGCTCCGAGATGGATGCTCGAGACGACACGGCGCCACAAAGGCTCGCCGTGAGCGAGCGTGCGGATGGCGATAATGGCAACCGGCCAGCAATGCCTACAGAGACTGCGCAGACGCGAGCGGTGGCTCGCGACCACACAGACCATCTCATAGCCCGGGCCTCGCAGACTTGCCTGGGGTCGGACGATGCTCACGGAGAAGACGAACAGCTCAAGACGGAGCCAGCGACACCGGCGCCAGCTGGGCGGACGAGGGCGAGGACCCGGGTCGGCAGATCGACCAAGGCGAAGAAACCACCAACGCGCCCCGCAAGCACTCGCAAGAAGCCAGGTGCGAAAGATGTCGGCTCTTCGAGCGCCGGTACCAGCCTCGCCACCGTCGGCCGAGGCAGCTCGGGAACAGCAGGAGGTCCTATCGACTCCCCCTCCATACATAGAGGTTCGAGGCCACCGAGGAGGAGCAGCAGAGCCAGCGTCGCTGCGGAGAGCGCGACGGTTCGTGCTCCATCTAGCGAAGCTGGAGCCATCGGCACAACCTGCGGCGAGTTTAATTCCACAGAGCGGCAGGGGCAGCCTGACGATCTTGATGCACAGCACCAGCACCACCAGCATCGTCCGCAGTCACAGCAGCAGCTCGACCGGCATGCGCCCCGCAGTCGGACCGCATCGCACAACGACCAGGCGAGCGAAGCCACAAGCGCCGACATCGTTCCGCGACGCGATGCGCAGCCTCCCGCTGCAGACAACAGCACATTGGGCGGCAGCAGCAGCCTGACGATGGGACCATCGACGATCAGAGAGCCATGCCTCGACCTCGTCGATCCGCGCATCCTGACAGGTTCGTGGCGGCACAAGACGGTGTGGACCTTCTGGGACTGCCTTGCGCCGTTTGGCGCGCGCGACAACGACCTGCTTATCCTCAGCAACGACGGAATGGCGTTTCCGTGCGCCGACTTTGTGAGTCCGCCTCCGGGGTTGCAGCAGACCGTGCCCGTTGCGGGCGCTGATCTTGCGCTACTGCAGGACGGCCTTGCTGACGCCGGATCTGCACCTGTCCATGCCCCCCGACGCCGCCTTCGGCAGAACCCGTACATGCACTCCGAGGTGCTCCAGCGGTCCACGCAGAACCCGCGTCCCGAAGTGACTCGGATCCTGCAGCACAGCCGCGAGGAAAACGAGCTCATCTTTGGCTTCCAGCCGCAGCCGGCTCTGACGGTTGACGAGGTGAGGCAAAGCAAGGCGTGCAGACCAACGGCGCAGCTACAGCTGACATGTCGCTGAACCCATGCCGCTCTTGTCCGACTTCATGCCCTCTGGCCGAACGCTTACCCCACAGGACTGGCGAGCCACGAACCTGCTTCTCCTTCTCGTCCATCCGATCCCGGCCCTGTTCCTGCCTGATCGGGCCACGGCGTCCCTGGCGCTCCGGCTCGGCTTCGACTGTGAGTGGCGAGTTGCCCAATCCCGTCGCGATGCCGCCCATTCTCTCAGACGTCGAGCTGACGAGGTACCGTCGCCTCGCCCGCCCGCGACTCGCCGGCCAGACCAAGTATCGACGGCGATCCAAACCGCGCTCCGGCGCCTGCGCGAACTCGACGAGATCGAGCGATCCGAGGCAGTCCGGCCGCCAGCGCCCTGAGCAGCCAGTCGGGGTCGGCTGCAAAGGACGGCAGGACCGCCTCGATGGCACGAGGGTGCGTTGCAGATGGACAATGGGCACAAAGGGGACAAATGCAAGACCTCGAGGGACGTCGGTGAAGCGTCGGGAATATGGATACAAGGGACGGGGGCGAGGGACGAGGACAGGAAGGAGAGGAAGGCCAGAGCGGGAGGGGAGGGAAACAGAAGCCAGGGTGAAGGACGACGATCGAGGCCGTCGTGGCAGATGCACGAATCCACAGCAATGCAATGCAAACCAACCAGGCCAGCGTGCTGTCCGATCCCGCCGTCGCCGCCGTCGCCATCGGTGTTCGACGATGTCAACGACCCGAGATCCAGGCCCACCAGCCATTCTCGCCGGAACCAGATCCAGAGCCAGAGGCGGCGTTGCGGCGCGTATTGTCCTGGAGGTCACGTTCGTACCTCTCCTCGTCCGTCGTCGTCGTGGGGGTGCGGGAGGAGGAGGCGGAGGCAGTGGGGTTCTGAGCCGAGAGTGGGGTGAGGAGGCCACGGTCTCCCAGCATGCCCAGGACGGCATTGGCGATGGCGTGGGTACGTCCGCTGCCGCGGCGCGCACCCATGCTCCCCGTACCGCCCAGGGCGCCGCTGCCATTCTCGAGCCAGCTATCCCGGTACGCCGGCGTCGCCCCGTTGGCGTTGGCGTTTGTCGCTGCTGCGGTGGACGAGGAAGTGGAGGAGGAAGAGGAGGTATAGGGAGGAGGGGAAGGGGAACGTCGACCCGATTCGACGGCAGCTCGAAGCGTCTCGATGCGCTGGTTGGTCAAAGACGACGGCACAGTCGGGAAATACGACGATGACGACGACGACGAAGACGAATTCGTCGCCGTCGCCGTCGCCGTCGCCGTACCGTTCGCCGACGCACCCTGGCCCCGGGAGGAGGTGCGGTGCGCGCCGCCGCCGTCGTCGGACGAGTGCAGCGAGTGCATGGAAATGTCGAGACGGTGCGGCGTCGGCGGGTTGGGCGGCGAGCCGATCGACGACTCGGACCGCCGAGAGGGAGACGGGTCGCGCAGCGACGAGGATCGGATTGGCGTCCCGCCGCGAGCGCCGAGGGCATGCGACGACGATGACGACGCCTGTTGCTGCTGCGTCGCCGTTGCCGTCGTCGGCGCCGGTCGACCAGAGCGACCACGGGCGGCCGCAGATGACGAAGACGGCACCCGCTCGTCGTACGGTGAGACGGGCGGAGGCGGCGTCACGTTCTCCCTCGCTCCCGGCGCACCTGCCCCCGCACCCGCGCCGCCGCTGGTCCCCTGCCCCGTCTCGATCAGGATGCTGCCGCGCTCCTGCCCGTAGGCCGGCGGAGGGGCCAGAGTGCCTACCATGGGCGCGAGCCCCCACTTCTTCACATTGGCCTCGATAAAGACGAAGCCGGCCTGGCCGAGGTTGACGTGGACCTCGCACGCGCCGTCGGCGCCTACCGTGGGGAAGAGGTTGTACCGGTTGAGGCCGATAAAGGCGTCCTCGAGCCTCTTGCCGTTGCGCGTGAAGAAGACGGTGCCGGTGCGCGGCCGGTAGCCGATGCCGATCACGTCGCCCTGGCCGTAGGCGGGGCCGTAGGACTGGGCGGCGAACGGGTAGTTGTGGCTTTTGAAGCCGTCGGCGCTAAAGTAGCCGATCGAAAACTTGTTCCAACCGGGCAGGCGAAACGTCGGGTAGGGCTTGGTGGTGAGGCCGAGGGCGACGTTGGTGCCGTCGGGCTTGTTGAACATCTTGGCCTCCCAGTAGTAGACCTCGTTGACCTTGGGCAGCGGCAGGTTGGACTGGACGCAGCAGCCGCCGCCCTCGCTCGGAGCCATGCCCTCCCCATCGGCGAGGAAGGTGATCTCGGTGCGGGCCTCGACAAAGACGCTCGGGTTGCTCTCGTAGTCCGGGTCGAAGCTCCACGCGCTGACGCCCTTTTCCTGGATGCTGAGGAACTGGCTGAGGGTAATGTCGGTGCTCTGGGAGCCGGGCGGGTACGAGAGGGTCCAGTCCTTTGCGCGTGCGTAGCCCTGGCGGACGGGCGGGTCCTGGAGCTCGAGCCAGCGCTGCTCGACGCCGTCGAGGTAGCCCTGGCCCTCGAGGGCCTCTTCGCGTCCGACGTCGACGGGCCCGTCCGAGTCGCCGAGGGCGATGCGGGCCCGCCTGCGAACGACGATGACGAGGATGATGAAGAGGAGCAGCAGGAAGAGGAGCGTCGAGAGGAGGATGAGGAGCGGTAGGATGAGGGCGAGGGTGTCGTCGCTGTTGCTGTTGCCGCCCTGGGGCGGCCGGCGGTAGATGGGCTCGCCGAGGTCGATGCCCCCTGCCGGCGGCATGGTGATCTCTGGCTGCCAGAAGCGCTGGCGGCCGTCCTGTGCCGACCAGGCGGGCACGGCTTGGTGCAGGCCTTTGTCGGATGCGCGGGCGTCGGTGCTCAGCACGAGGAGATGGCCGTCGAGGGACTCGTAGATGCGGTCATGGCTGTCGGAGGACGATGCAGATGAAGAGAAGTCGGTGTAGTAGCGCCAGAACGGTGGTGCTGGCGAAGAGGCGCTCGATGTGGCGGAGGAGTGGTCCGCATGTGGACCTTTTGGCGCCTGGGGCTGGCTCGAAGATGCGGAATGCTGCTGAGTGGTGAGCGGAAGCAGATCGGGCCGAGAGCGGCGCTGCACATCGCTCACAGCAGCCATGATGGCGCGGATGATGAACGGACGAGCGAGGAGACGGTAATGGGAAGCTCAGGGGCGAGTCTGGGCACGACCGGAGGGGGTGGGGCCGCCGATGCGGCGGAGTGGGCAGCCCTGTGCTCTGGATCGGATGGTTTGCGACGGGCTGGTGCTGATGCTGGATGCTGAAACGGTGTCGGAGCCAGTGCGGCTGTACAAGCGGCGATGACCGTAGTCGTGGTCGGAGACGGTGCAGAGCGTCGGGGAAGAGTGCCGACGGATTGACGCCGGGCGATGGCAGGTGTGGCGAGCACGAGCGAATGGCGGCAGCACCGCAAGTGGAGGCTTTGGGGCGGTGCAGGCGGGCACGACCGTTGGCGTCCAATCGTCGGATCGCGGGCCGAACGATGCAGGCCAGGTATCAATCGAGTGGCGAGACAGTGGACTGGCAGCGGTGACGGGCCGCTTCCGAAGGGCAGTAGGGTGATGTCTTGACGAGAAGGACTGTAAGGTAGGGGATGCTGGTGGTGGTGCTGACGACGTCGGGGAGCGAGTCAGGCGGGCCACGGCTTGGCAGCCAGCCAGCCAGCCAGCCCGGGTAGCGTGGTCGGTCAGCGGCAGCCAGCGAGGGCACGGCACGCCTCAGCCCGACAGGCCAAAGCCAGCCAGGCACTCCACCAGTCTCGACCTGCCCGGATGCGGAGCGTGGCCTGACCAGGCGTGGGTCGCCAGCCGCCTTGGGCCCCACGGCCAGCACACGCTCAATTGCAGCCCCAGACGCAGGCACCTGCATGTCGTAGGCACCCCCGCCCACCTCCAACAAGGCTGCTGGCTGGCTCGCTCGCTCGCAGGGCAGAGACCAGCTCACCAGCTCATCATCCTGCCTCTGCCTGCCACTTTCCTTCATAGTGCTGCCGCAGCCCTGACACAGCACCAGCATCAGTAGTAGAGTGTGTGTGTGTGTTTCAGTGAGCAGATGCAGATGCTCTGTTGCAGCATCCAGGTTGACTGTCTCCAAGCCATGACAGGGCAATTCATCTGATACAACCAAGAGCAATGCAACCGTGATGCAAGCACACACTGCACTGCTGGCACTGCTGTAACACCAGACCTCAAGGGCTTGACAGTTTGCCTGGGCCCCTGGACACATGCCAGCATCAAGTAGCTGTTGGCAGTATGATGCTTGTCAAATGATTGTTGGGGTAAGGTGGAGCTGGCATGCATGCAAGCAGCAGTAGGTGGTCCTCTGCAACCTCCTGGATGATTGCACACCTGCATGCGCTGCCGTAGACCAGAAAGGTGGCCTCAACAGCCTTGAGGTCCACCCAAGCGATGCCGGCAAAGATTCGCTTGGCACGCTCGGCGAAGTCAGATGGCGCCCACCCCTTGCCACCCTTCGGACCCGAGCCGGCCCAGGCACCTTGCCTGGCCAGCTCGTCCTGAAAGGCTTCGAAAATTGCTACCGAGCACTCCTGCCCAAACACTGTACGGGTGTGCTCGTCAGGAGGGTGCTGGCGGAACCGGTAGACCTCCTGGGCCACCTGGCAGGCCCAGAAGGGCTTGGTGGCCTCCCAGGTGTAGGCCGCCGGGAGGTCCCCAGAAAAGCAGGTCGTTGGGCTTGGCCACCACCAGGAACCTGCGGCTGGCCAGCGGTGAAGCGACGACCGCGTGGGCCATTGCATTTATAATGTCGGTTGGTAGGTAGCGGGCCCAGCGGTGGACCGGCGGTGGCTGCTTCCGTTGCACCTGCACCAGTGCCCCTCTCTTTTGCTCTTCACTGCCTCCTCTCTGTACTCTGCCCTGCATCTCCAATACAACAACAGCTGGATATCATCTCTGTCTGGCAGCTTCCTGCAGTCTTGGTCCCACATTGATGCCTCTATCCCTCTGTTCATCAGCTCTGCCTCTACAGATGAGGTAAACATCACCACCTCATCTTGATATGCTGATCTCCCTTGTTGTCAGGACACTGGCTGCATCAAGAGAGGTGCAATGTCACTGGAGTGCTGAAGGTATCCTTGAGAGGGAGTCAGGTCTGGCTGTTGACCATGACACAACAGCCCTCCAGGCTGCTTTGGACTCTTGATGCAGCCCCACCCCCACTCCACTCCTTGAGCTGATGCAATTTTATTGTATTTTCGCGAATAATGCTGGACACCTTCTTGCAGCTGCTGGCCGTCTGAGCAATGAGGTTGAAGCAGGGCCGTTGAAGCATGCACAGCCATCAGCCCTTTGAAGCAAGCTCGCAACATCATCAACGAGGACCTACAACAACAAGCGACAACATCAACAAGCGACAAACAACAGCAAGAACAGCCAAGCGTGCGCTCAGCACCGTTGCTGAGATGGGTTAAGAGATCGCTGGAGTGCTCGACTCAGCGATTCGAGAGAGGATGGATGAGTGGATACAGTTACATTCACTACGAGATACAAGGGTGTTAGTACAGTTTCGTCCGGAGGGGTGGGGGGGGGGGGGAAGAGGGGGGGGCGAGGTGGTGGCTTCGCTGTCCATTCGAACATGCGGGTTGGATGGAACATGCGATGGAACATGACTAGTGGTTCGGAAGAACAACCGTGCGAGCACAGGGGTGGGTCGAGCGAGGAGAGGAGGACACGAAGGGGCCCATCAAGCTGCCACCGCACCGCTGTCGACCTGCTGCTGCGGCTGCGGCTGCTGGTCCACCGCAACAGAGGAAGGCTCAGACACGGCGGGAACGGCCCTCGTCTCCGCTGCGGGCGTCTGCTGGCTGCGCTCCATCGACGCCTCGACAACGCCGCTCTGGCCCTCCCTCTCGGCCCTCACGGCGGCAGCGGCGGCCGCGGCGGCGACGGCGTTGAGGCGATCCTCGCCCTCGCCCTCGCCATCAACCTCGCCCTGGCCTTGGCCCTCTGCGTCCTTGTCGTTTCCGCCGAGCTGCTTCGACGCCGACATCTCGGCATCGTGTGCGTCGAGATCAAGCCTGGGCGGTGGCGGGCCGGCGACGTGGCCACCAAGCGCAGCCAGGGCGACGCGGAGCGAGTGGTTATCCTGCCTGAGCCCGTCGATGGTGATGAGGGCCTCGCGCAGCTTGGCCTTGCTCTCGTCGGCCGTGCGGAGCGCCTGCTCGCACATCGCCGCCTTGCCCTCGAGCTCCTTGACGTACTTGTCCCTGCGCTCGCGGAACGCACGCTGCGCGGCGCGGTTCTGTGCGGCCCGCTTCGACGTCGAGAGCTGGCGGGCAGGCTTCGAGGGCGAGGCCTGTGTCGCATCCGCGCCACCGTCGGCCCCAGCATCCGCGCTGGCACTGCGAGCGCTGGTGCCGCTGGCGCCACCGGCTGTGGCAAGGGAGGCGTGTGCAGGATCAAGAGGCAACGTCGGCGAGGTCTGGATGTCCCGAGTGCTGTCGCTCTGCGGCACGGCGACACCGGGAATGGTGCCCGGCGCAGCGGCGCTGACGGCGGGCTCGACTGGGGCGCTCGACGATGGGGGCGCCGGCGCCGGTGGAGGCGGCGACTGGTGCCACCTTGCGTCGTGCTGGTTGAGGTTCTCCCAGGGCTGACCAAAGTGCATGCCGCTCCCAGCGTCGTTGGGTCCGGACGGGCTCTGCGCCTTTTGCGCCTTGGGCCCGCGGGCGCTGCCACCCTGACCACCGCCAGAGCCGCTCCTCTTGCGCGATGCCGTGTCAATGCCATCGCCACCAAAGGGGTGCGCCAGTCCGCCCTCGTCGCCGCCATTTGTCGGGCCGTGGCCGTCAGCATGTTCGCCGTCCGCCTGGTGGTCGTGGTGCTGGCCATGGTGCTGGTGCTCGTGCTGGTACTGCTCGAGCTGCTGCTGGTACTCATGATGCTGCGCCGACGCTGCCTGTGCCAGCTGCATCACGGCCTCGAGCGCCTGGACGTCGTCGTGGGTGGCGTCGCCGCCACCGTCGCCGACGCCGCCTTCTTCCTGGCCGGGGATTCCGCCGTGCTGCTGCTGGGGCGAATGGGCGGCCTCCGCTTCGCCCTTAGCGGTGGCGCCCGCCGCTGCGTCATTGCCGCCGTTTGCATCTACAGACGGATCGATTGAGTGGGTGTAGTCGGAAGCTGCCGAGACGGTCGGGTGTTTGGGGAGACAAGTCAAGGTTACGTGGTGATTAGTCATGCTGGACCCTCCTTCCGGGCCAGGGCTGCAAAGGCTGCAGGGGCCAGAATGGCACTCACCATCGTAGTCGTTGCTGGTGGTGGTGAACCTCGTCTCCTCGTCCATCATGGTGGTGACGGCGACGGCGGCGAAAGAAGCGTGGAAGGGCTGCCGGCGGGTGGACCGGGCGGGCTTCCGCAAGGCGGAGTGTGGGGGTGTGGGCTTCTTTATTGTTGGCCGACGCGAGAGCGGGCCACGCGCGACGTGTAGGTGGTAGAGAATATGCGCCGTTCGCCGGGAAGTGCGAGTTGGCCTGTGGGAGCTTGATAGGAGTAGAGATATGCTGGAAGTGGCGACGGATGGCGTCGGTGCGTTGGTATGGATGGGCAAGGTGGTGGTGGTGATGGTGGAGGAGGAGGGGAGGAGGGAGAGCCGGATGCGCGTGACGAATGCTGAGTCACCTTCGATCCAGAGGGCAGGCAGGCCAGGCGAAGCCAGGCACGGTAGGTCGGGCACACCTCTTTGGCCCGAGATCCGAGCTGAGGCAGCCCAGTATACTCGGCCGAGAGAAACCGCCTTCGACGGCTTCCATCGGCTTCGCTTTCGGTTCATCAATCCTCGTACCTCTTGCTCCGATCCGCTCGGGATGGTCGCGACCATGATGGCTGCAACGCATCGATCGAGGTTTCATGGAGGCCAGCAGACACACTCTCGCGTACAGGCGGATACGTACGGCATGCCCACCTCACGCTGCCGTGGCTTCCTCGTCGCTTGTCTCAGGCCGGATATGAACGTGGCCCTTTGGCGCGGGCAGATCTAGAGTTGTGCCGGTACCGGCAGCTTGGGCCTGCACGTGTGCCTTGCCGCGGAAGCTCTATCTGTCTGTACGGGGCCCATCCTCGTGGACCGGGAAGCACAGGTAACCCGTTCGGGATGGAGATGACTGGGTGCGTATCTAGCGGCTAGGCCGTCTGTCGTGTGCGGTGGCGCAGAGCCTCGTGGGCGGGAGGCGGGCCGGTAGACGACAAGGCAGGGTACGGCTGGTTGGCTGAGCGCACCTACCGTGCCGACAGCATCGACGGCCCGTCTCGTCACGGCTGCGACGCCGAGATGGTCCAACGCCGGTCGAGGGGCGGATATTCAAATCGACGCGAGGCCGCCCACGTTCATGTTATCCGATGCGGAGGAAGGGAGGGAAGCAAAGAGGCCGCCATCGCAGAGACGAGGTTGCCGCGGCCACTAAAAGATGATTGCTAGCCGTGGCCAGGCCGCCGGTTGGTGCTCGAGCTGGGCGGCTGGACGTGGATGGTGCCGTCGTACGAGGTGTCGGACGACGAGACTGTGGCGGACGAGTGGCAGGCCCACGTTGTCCAACCACACGGCGTGGGGCCATCGCACACGCCCGTACGGCACGCACGGCGTCTGTCGACCAAGCAAGGCAGAAGAGGCGGAGCAAAGGAGAAATATCGGCGTGTGGGACACACAAGGAAGCCCGGTGCCGGCAGGTTGCGCATGCATGGGCGGGCAGCGCGCTCTTGTTGCGGGCGCGAGTCGTGTGGGGGTGGCCAAAGGGCCGCCTTGACCTACTGCCTACCTGGGCTGCCGTCTTCCTCTATCGTGCCCCTGAGCACCGTACCGCCAGGGCAGCATGATCTTTCCTGCGTGGCCGCGGGTCTCGAGTAAGCGAAGTCCTCGCCCGCCGTTCCAAACCGCACCGTTCCGCGCGTCCTGCTGAGCCGTCAGATCCCAGCCGCCTCGAGGACGACGAGTTTGTGCTCGGCAGCGTTTCTCAACCGAGCCAGCGGAGAGACCGAGAGACAGGCAGGCAGGCTAGGCAGGGCTAGGTCCACGCCGCAGGAACCGTCGGCTCACGGCGGCACCACGTCTGCCGGCGCTTCGCACTCGATGGCTCTTTGCTCGCTCCCTCGTCGTCCATGCGCCCCCTGTCGAGGATCCCCAGGTGGCACCGCTCGCCGGTTCTCGTCGGCTCGCACCTTTGCCGGCTTGCTCGTGGGGCGTGGGGCGCATCGTATGTACTGGCTGCAGAGCGCTAGGATGGGCGCACCACTCGAAGCCCACGTTGTCGCCTCCCCCCGCTTCATCCTTTGGCAGCCAGCAACGCAGCCCTATGGTTCCCTCACACAGACCCTCTTATAAAACGCCCCGAATGTATGTAGAATCAGCTCCCTGTCCATCCTCGCCCTTCTTTCCAGCAACCTTCTCTCCTCTTTCCCCCGTTTCTCCATCCCCTCGCCCTCCGCGCGGACGATCAGCGCCAAACCGGCACCTCGCCCGTCCGACGCAGCGCAGCGCAGCGTAATCCAGCCATGTCGTCCACCGACGAGATCCGCAAAGACGCGAGCCCCCTGGCCGAAGAGAAGCGGTCACACGATGACACGCCCGCCGTCGCACACACCGTCCAGCCCGTCGTGTCGCTCGACGAGCAGCCCCCCGCCGCGCGCTCCAAGCTGAAGGCGTTCGGACTCATCTTTGCCTGCGGCTCCGCCCTCTTCTCCGACGGCTACGTCAACGCCATCGCTGGCCCCGCCATCACCATCCTCTCGTACATCTACCCGGACTACAAAGACTTTTCCGGCTTCGAATCCAGGTTCTCGTCGCTCGTCTTTGCCGGAACCCTGGTTGGCATGCTCGTGTTTGGTGTCGTCGTCGACCGTATCGGACGCCGCTGGGGAATGTGGTTCTCGTCGATCTGGCTCACCCTGTTCAGCATCCTCATTGCTGGTGCTTGGGGAGCCGGTGGGTCCACCGGTGGCCTCTTTGCAGCGCTCTCCGCCTACCGCTTCATCCTCGGGTGAGTCCGCACGCAGCCATCCCGCCGGCGCTTTCGGCCCGACCCGACCGGACCGGACAGCTCGCTGACGCGTCTCAACGCCACCCGAAAAATCCCCGCCGCGCCACCGTCACCGACTCAGCATCGGTAAGTCGCCCGCTTCCATCGCACCATCTCATGGCACCAAGATGCGCACTCCTGACCATCTCTTGTATTCTCAAACAAAAAAAAAAAGGTCTTGGGAGTGAGTATCCGTCGGGGTCTGTCGCAGCATCTGAAAACACGGAGTCGGACGACGTAAAGAAGACTCGACAGCAGGCGTACTTCATCATTGCGACCAATTCGATGATCGATCTCGGCTTCGTTGTGGCGTCGCTGGTGCCACTGATCCTGCTCCTCATCTTCGGCATGGGCCACCTCGAGTGGGTCTGGCGTCTCTCGCTCGGCCTCGGCGCGCTACCGCCGTTGATCGTCTTCTTCTTCCGGGCCGGCATGAAGGAGCCTGAGCACTTCCGAAAGGGCGCGATCAAGAAGAACGTGCCCTGGCTCCTCATCTTTAAGCGGTACTGGGTGCGCCTGGCCGCCGTCAGCCTTGCGTGGATCGCGTACGACTTCGTGAGCTACCCGAGCGGCATCTACTCGTCGATCATCACCAAGCAGCTCATCCCGACCGACGCCGGCCTGAGCGACTACGAGGTGCTCAAGCGCAGCCTGGGCTACAGCACCGCGCTCAACTGCTTCTACCTGCCCGGCACCTTTTTCGGCGCCATGGTCACCGACCGCCTCGGCCCCAAGCGCACCATGATCATCGGCCTCCTCCTCCAGGCCATCATGTGCATCATCATGGCCACCGCCTTTACCAAGATCCGCGAGTCGCTCGGCGCCTTTATCGTCGTCTACGGCCTCTTCCTCTCGTTTGGCGAGTTCGGATCGGGCAACAACCTCGGCCTGCTCGCCTCCAAGGCCTGCGGGCCCGCCGCGGTCCGAGGCCTGTTTTACGGCATTGCCGCCGCCCTCGGCAAGGCCGGCGCCTTCGGTGGCTCCTACGCCTACCCGCAGATCCAGGCCGACGTCGGAGGTCCCTCAGAGACGCTCTACTACACCGCCCCCTTCTACGTCGCCCTCGGGCTCGCCATCTTCTCGGCGGCCATCACCTACTTTTTCATCCCCGAGGTGCGCGCCGACTCGATGAAGCAGGAGGACGCGGCGTTCCGCCAGTACCTCATCGACAACGGCTACGACGTCTCGCAGATGGGCTTCGACGAGCCCAACCGCGCCTCCAACGCCGAAAAGGGCGTCGTCACCCCGAGCCCGTAGGCGCCGTTTGGGCCTCGGTCTCTCCTCCGCACGCATCGAGATGGACGACAGACCAAGAGGGGTTCCTCAGTAACGAGACGCACAGAAGGACTCGCGCGAGAGCGTGCACCTGCTCTTCGCAACTCAGCCGCCACTCTGCTTTGTCGGCTGCCTTTTCTGCTGTTTACGATCACGACCACTGTGCTCTTTCTATTCCCCAGCGTAACGACTGCTTGCAATGCCCATCACATACCCGGTCCACATCGACCGCCTGCACGCCGCGACCCGCTCCGTCTCTGCCTGTCATGCCTCGCCGCAATGGAAAGGCTGGACCAGCTCGCACGCGATGGTGCACAGCGCCGCGTTCAGACGTGTGCGATGCAGCCTACGACGTCGTATGTACAGCCTCAGCCTGTCCCTTCTGCACACACACCGCCATCGACCAGCACCGACTCCGGTTCCGACCCGACGACGGACGAGGAGCAGACACACCCCTACTTTCGGCCCGGCCCGGCCCGCCAGGCCAGCCGCGTGGCGTCGACGACATCTGCAGGGCGGCGTAGCGACCAGGGCGTCTCAGCCGTACGTCCCTGCCTGCTGCGCCGCAGGCAGGCACGCGGGCGGATGCATGAGTGACGCCCGTCCTGGCTATCTTGGCCGGACGTGGCGGCACCAGGGCGTTCCTGGCCTGACCTCGCCTGGCCAGGCTGGCTGAGCCAGCGCAGTCGGTGCCTGATCCAGTCGCCGGCGGTCGGGTCTTCGCCTCGGTTCCGAATCGAACCAGTGTGTGGCGGGGGGTGCATCTTGCCGCATGCCATCCGGTAAGAGGCCGGAGTCATGAGTTGATCAAGCAGACCAAGATGGAACGGGAGGTCGCAGGCCGTACCTACCTCTGCCTCTGCACCACGCGCGATGCATGTCAAGCAGCACCATCCCGGTGCCTCCGGTACGGTACGGGGCGGTACGCATGATGCGTCGGCAGCCAGCACGGTGGTATGACGACGACGACGCCAGACCGTGTGCGCGCCCTCTTTCCGCCATCGCGGGGCATGGTACCGAGTCGGCTTCTACCGATATCGTCTTAGTCAAGTTCGTAGCGTACCTTCTGCAGGACAGGAATTCTGCAGCGACGAGGTGGATCAAGCTCCTCGCTCCGTGCATCATCGACGATCAGGCAAAGACGCTGAGCAGCACAAACAGAACAGACGCACAAACGACAGACAGTCGTGAATCCCGCATCGCATCGCACGCTCCGTCACATACCCTCGTTCGATTGGTCGTGTAGAGAAAGAGATCCTGATTCCGCCCCCCGCGCCATCGCGCTCGCGCATCTCTACAAACGATATGCGGCGCACAGCGCCGCCGCGCTACAGGTCGACGTGCATCTCGACGCTGGGGAAAAACGTGGCGCGACAAAAGGTGCAGCAGACCGGGTTGCCGCCCGTCGACCTTTTCGGAGCGCTCTCTTGGCCGTCGAGCAGTGGCGACGACGAGACGCCCTCTTCCCTCTTGACTTGTCTCTCGGTGTTTGCGGGTGGGGCAACGGCGACGTCAGAGGGAGGCGGGATCGACCACCAGAACGGCGATGTCTTGGTATGGCACTTCCAGCACTCTTCCGCTTCTTCCTGGACGTCCTCGCCGCCGATGTCGATGGCGAGGCCGAAGCGCGACGACGACGACGACGCCGACGACGAGCCGATGTGCAGGCCGACGCGCATCTCTGTCGGGGCGGGGGTCGTGGTGACGCCTGGCGCACCCGCGATGCCCGCTGCGCCGGCGCGAGAGGGGGAGGGTGCCGATGCCGACGACGAGAGCAGGTCGAAGCGCTTTGCCCTGCGCAGCAGCGCGTACGACGACTCGGTCATGTGCGCGACGACGGACGAGGCGGCGTTCGAGGTGCCGTGTCCGGTGACGGTGGCGCCGACGTGCTTGTAGGTGCGTGCGTAGAGCTGGAGCGCCGTCGAGGCGCCGTCGTCGTCGAGCTCTGCGAGGCCAAAGAACCTGGCGCCCTTGGTCGTGGCGAGGGCGAGCGCGGTGGCTGCGGCGCTGGACCCGGCGGCGGCTGCTTTCGGCGCGGCGACGGCGGGGCGATGGTCCGCGCAGTAGACGACGGCGGACAGGACGCCCGTCTCGCCGCGGAAGGTGGTCGTCTCGACGCCGCCCTTTTTGCGCGGCGGGCCGACCTCGAAGCCGATGGCAAAGTCTTCTGGCCGGTTGACGGCGCACGAGACGTGAAAGGTGCGGCGACACCCGCTCTCGGCGCACGTGATGCAGCTGCCGGCGCGCTGGTCGCAGACGTAGCACGTCGACTCGTAGCGCCAGGCGGGCAGGTTGCCGCATCCCTCGACCGTCTTCAGCCGCAAAGGGTCGGAAAAGACGACCTCGGGCGTAAAGAGGGCGCAGAGGACGTGGACCCAGTTGTTGCACTCGGTCGGCTTGAAGGCGTCGAGCGGGCCGAGGGGCG